AACGAGGTTTTGTGGTCAAGACAGTGGTCTTGGAGTTGTGCACAGGCATTTTAAGAAAGGAAACATGTTGCTGATAGTATTTATGGGCGGTGTGAGCCTTAGGCCCCAAGATGCACAGGCAAGTGTGACCAAGTGGGTCGACACCCTATAACCAAGTAACCAGTCGAATGCACTTAGTTGAAACTGTGTTCGGGCACCCTCAAGTGGGTTAGTGGAACAATGAGTGAAATGCCGAAATTATGGTGGCCAAAAGACATGTCTTTGGCCTTGAGTTAGGTGAAGAAAAAACTTGAGATGGTTGAAGAGAAAAATGTCCCCCATTTTAAACAATCTATAGTTCCTAGTAGGATGGCTGAAAAATCTCTTACACTCTTTATAAAGGGACGATTGGTATCAGCTCTCCACCACCTCTTTGGTTAGTAGGTAGGCAGGGGCCTGGCTAGTATGAAGTGATCTACTCTTAGGCACATGTGGTGTCTAGGTGGGCAGGCATCGTAAGGTCACAAGTATGGTACGGTGTCTCCTTGGATCATAGTAAACCCAAAACAGTTAGGGTCTATGGGTCTTGTATTGCGCCTTTGTGTTGAACCATAGAGTGAGACAATAGTGTTCACTATGCCCCTCGACTTTCCTTCTTTGAGTTGAAAAGATCATGAGATGGTGTTTTGTGTAGGAAAGGCACCATCGAGCCTGAGGGATGAGCGGGCTAGCAAGCAAATACACTGGTAGACCTTTGTAGCCAATTAATAAAGATGTCCTACGGTTGGGGTAGCACACTCGAGTCTTTAAGGTGGGACGGACAAGATGTTGAGTGTCCATCATATGTGTGGGCAGCTTAAAATGAGGCTAAAGGCTGAAGCCTTGAGATATGAGTTTCGTGGGATGAGATAAGCTAGTGTGGCTTCGGACTGACTGTTGACTAGCATCTATGTTGTGCCTTCAAGATCTAGGTACGAGAGCTTACGGATGATCCGAACGGACATGGTGTTGGATTCTCACCAGGTCAGAGTGAGATAATATTAAGAAAACTAAAGCTATAAACAAGACGGGTCGATGCTCAAGATCTTGATATTTGTGGATAGAGATGAGTACTCAGAATCACCTTAAGAATTGTGGGTTGATGAGATGATGAGAATTTGGTTTCTCTCTATTGAGTTTGAAAATGTTATGTATGACCCTATAAGGTTCGAGCTAAAAAGTGTTTGCACCGTGAAGGATCAATAATGATCTGTCCATAAAAAATAGATTAAAAAAAGGTTAATCTTGACTAAGAGTAGTTTTAGTATTGCATGAATACATGATTTCGGTACAAAGAATATGCAGCCCGTGACACTAAACGTGTAATCTTGCTCGGTTCGGGTTTGAGCTTCCGCGTTCTCGTTCAAACAGGCTAAGATAAAATAGAAGGGAGTTTAAGGCAGGTATGTTGTGAAGAAAAAATAAATAAATAAATAACAACAAGAAAGACAGGAGTCCCATCCCACCAAACTGAGTTTGAAATTCGATGCACGTAACTTGAATATGTCTTCAATGTCGGCAGCCACTTGGCAGTTTGCACCAATCGTCTAACAGCGCGTGCCTTGTTCGAGCACCATTAGAAACTGTGGCCACACGCATTGCAAAAATTGGGACATCCACGCTTTGCCAAAACGGAAAGAAAAGGGGACTATGGCTGTTCAATGACAAATCGAAGCGGCGTTTTCAGAAGCACTCGGTTTATGGCTTCCTTTGGCACTTAGCCTTTAATTACAAGGCAGCCTAGCTTCCTGGACTTTGGACACTTAATTGAGTCCTACGAGGCTTTAATTTAGTACGGACACCAATACTGAACCTGACCTTCTAAATATGGTAAACTTGTAATTATTGATGGATTTTGGGCATTGTGAAAGGAATAAAATTTACGTAAAATTTTTAATTAAAATTTGTAATTTTTTTTTAAGATTTTAAAAAATTTTTATTAAAAAATTAATATCGATAAATTGATAAAATTTAAAATGAAGATTAATAATATATATAAATTATTATAAAAAATATAGTTTATAAAATAAATTTGATCGATATTTATTTAATGATAAAAATTTTATTAATATTTTTATTAAAAAAATTTATCTAAAAATATATAAAAAGATTTTAAAATTTTTTAAAATCTTACATAATTTATATAACAAAATATTTTAATTTATCAATTTTAATATTTAATATTTATTTATTCATTCTTAATAAAAAATTTTACGAATTTTATTTAAAAATTTTTATGTAAGTCTTTCCTTTGAGAACGTTTTCAAGCATTTTAAAGGCTCTGAGCCTCTAATCAAATGGGCTCCAGGATGGAGAAAAACCAGTGTGAACATTTTCAAATTTTCATGCCTCACACAGTCCAGGCAGTTCATCTCTAATCAAAGACATTTATTAATAGATTGAAAGTGGTTGCAATACATATGAACTCATAATTTGTACTTGTTTATCAGTGACTTAACAAACAAGCTTTAATATTTGGTTTCAAAATCATTTAATAAGGATACGAAAAATTGCCCTCCACAATTCACGGGCATGTGTGATGATAACCCATTGATAGAGCCACTTGACCAGTACATAATTTACCATATATATATATATATATATATATATATTGAAGAAGTTATATCAAATAAGTTCAGCTGAGCTGGCAAATGCCATGACAAGCTCAACAAGTATTTGAAGTTTGAACTTAATGTTAAGAATGATTCATGACAGTATCGTTTAAGTTTTTGAACTTATTTTTATCTCCTCGATCGGTTTGGGGAGTGGGAATTGGCAAGAAGAAAGGAGGGGAAGTCTCATCAAAAAAGCGTGAATCGATCTTTGGCTCCTTCAACAACCAATGAACCATCCACATTCCAACTATGTTTAGTCATGTAAAACAAGGAAAATGGGGACACAGTTGACAGGTATTGGACTATGTGTTAAATCCAATGGGCTTAGGCTTAGCTTTGAAAGCGACACGGCAAATATCACAGCTACAAACCAAATTGGCCATTGAAGGATGAGATAACTTTAATTTGTTAGCTCCGTCCTAATCCAACTGGTATATATTGGATGTAAATATAAAAGCAATTTGCTTTCTTCGTGTGTGATTTAACACTTGACAATAATCAAACATCTCTTTTGTCCATATTAGGCGAACCCCAGCTCTTTGATCCTCATCTTGTACTCAATCATCAGTTTTGATGGCACAGCTCAACCATGAAATATTTAACATCAACCTATCTTCTTTCTTCTTAAAATGCAGTTTTCATTTTTCCTGGTAAGCAACGTAGCTAGATATAAAGTGAGATGGCGAAAGCATGATTGCTATTGCTGAGGAAAATGTTCAAGTACCATGGAAATTCTTATCCGTCGGATACCTCTATAAAGCCAGGTTCAAATCCATGTCTTATCTTCGTCAAGCAAGTGACATTGACATCAGATCCGATCATAAGACCTTACACCAGGAAAAGAAATGCAGTCATTCTTTTTGGAAGAATGATCTCTTGAAAGTCACCAGCTGAAGTGACGGGGAAGCTGTTTGTTCAAGTTTATATATAAATATAAATATATAATATATATATATATATATATACAAAACGAAAATAAAGTTATTTTAACCACATAATTTTTCATACTTAACCTTGGCCAGGATTTGTTAAGACGCATGTATATGGTGATATGGATATATTCCCCAGCAGATGTTTGGTGTGTACACTTTACAGGGCTTTACCGAACGCAAAAATCATCAAAATCATGTATTTCATCTCACCAAGTATGTACGTAGATGATCAGTAAGCAGGAACATCAAACATTGACTTTTCATAAAGCTTTTCGCTCGACCAATATTTCTATCAGTATTATACGTGGGACCGACCAACATCTTCCAAGATGACGGACTAACAAATAAGATGAAATATTTTTGCTTCAAACGATTAGTCGTCATTAACGATTGAATATAAAAAAAAAGTGATTTAAAATATTAAAGAATACATAAGCGTCCAAACGTGGAATAATATCTATCTATGAACCTTCAATGCCCGGACAAACACAACAACCCCCGATCCCTATGGGTTGTGGGCACCCCGAGTTTTTGTTAGCGGGACAAGTATTAATGCAAAATCCAAAAGCATCCTACCACACAGCTCCAAATCGGAAGAAACCAGAGAAAAAGGTCAACAGTTCTGAATAATTTGTAATTCCCCAGATTTCACTAGCATCAAAGTGATCTCTTAACTAGGTGAACAAAGTCAACAAGTAAATCGCGCATCATTAGGGAGTTTTCACCCAATGCGTGGAGCAGTTAAATCCAGTCCCAAATATCTTCCCAAACATGTTCCAATTCCCAAACTTAATTCATTTTGTGTAAAACATAAAAATTTCTGTATCATAATTTATGAGATAATCAAATACAAAATAAATTTTTAATTTTTATTAAAATTTTAAGTCGTAAGCTTTTTGTATTTTTTTTCACATCGTTGTGTTTAATATTATTAGCCTAGATTTAAATGAGTACCTATTTTTATTTATCACTGAAAATATCAAATGAAAACTTCCTCCTCCACATGCTGGTTTGTTGCCTCGTTTAGTGTATTTACTTTCTGCTGGCTTCTAAATGTTTATATATTACGAATGCAGGCATCGACCATTACGGTCCATGTTATGTGCTAATTGCTTTTCTGCTCCTTTTGACTTGGGCTAGATATTTTAAAAGCTAGAATGGTTAAGTTAGTGATGTTTTAAAACTTTTCCTCTTGTAGATTAAGAGAAGATTTTAATTTGCATGAGTGACAGGCAAAATAGTATCATCCCAATTCTAATTTTATTTACGCAATAGTGCCGGGATCAGGGCAGCAACCACTCAAGATGTGGATTATAGTTTACAAATGGAAAAGATTGAAGATATAGATATCCACAAGGCATAAGAAAGAGAATGTCATACGATAGCTGGCCTTATTGGTTAGGAGAATCAATCAATAAATAGTCTCAATCACTTGAAAGCAACCATATCGAGTACTTCTAATCATGGCCAACTATATATCTCCAGGCCTCCTTCCTCGGTAGATTTCTAATTCCAAACACATTTACCTTGAAAGGAGATGAAAAAAAAGCGAGCTATAAAGTCTCTCTCTGTAATTACGGATAGAGTCGTAACAGGGAGTTATAATTAAAAACTTCAAAATCCAATAATGGAGAGAGACTATGATCCAGCAGCACATGAAGCAGTCGCAGACCAGGAACCTCAAACTCCAAGGAAGAAGAAGAATAAGATGAAGAACAAGAGGAGATTTAGCGATCAGCAAATCAGGTTACTTGAGTCCATTTTCGAATCAGAGACGAAGCTTGAACCAAGAAAGAAGTTGCAGCTGGCAAGAGAACTTGGGCTCCAGCCTCGCCAAGTTGCTATATGGTTTCAAAACAGAAGAGCTAGATGGAAGTCAAAACAGATAGAGCAAGATTACAGAACACTCAGAGCTAATTACGACAACTTAGCATCAAGATTTGAGTCCTTGAAGAAAGAGAAACAGTCCTTAGTTTTACAGGTATTCCATGTTCTACCGAGTTTGTTTAAGAGAATTACTTCCTTACAAAGTCATAAAACTTTTGTTTTCATTATCAGATGCAGAAGCTAAATGAACTGCTGAAAGAACCACACGACGTTAATAAGGCCAGTAAGGGTCTTGATGGAAGTAGCACAGGTGGTGGCTCAGAATATGGAGTTACCAAGTGCGAGCCTGAAGGAGAACCGAATCCAAGTTTTCAACAGGCAGGATTGGAGGACAGGGGATTCCTTGACTTGCAAATTGAAAACGATAGAGATATTAAGCATGCAGGGCAGCCAGGAGAAGAATTTCTGAGCATGGATGAATATAGGAATGACTCCCCAGCATCCCCTGAAAAATTGTATGGATTTGATTCGGCTGACATGTTCGATCATTCATGTAGCAATTCGCAGTGGTTAAACTTTTGGACTTGAGGAGAGTACTAAACCTACAACAAAATGTTTCCATGTCTGTTTGAATATTAGTTGTCTTGTGCCATTACAGACTTACAGTGGGCAAGAATCAGGAAAGTGAAGTGGGGGCTGGGCTCCCATACTGCCACTAGTACCATCAATCAAGCAACTAAAGCAAAAAGGCCTGGAAGGCATAGAAAGTAACCACTGACAATTGTTGGCAAGATCTTCAGAACAATTAAGAGTTGGTGGCTATAAGTCCGAGTCTATCACTCGTCTCCATGAATTTGCTAGAACATGAGCTAGTAAAGAGTGCAAAGGGATGCTAGGGGTTGTAACCAATAGATTTTTTCATTTTCTTTTTTCTTTTTCGTTTTTGGTTATGGTAATAGATCAACATATGATACAGCACATGTAGCTATTGCTCCACAATGGGGTATATATATGTTGTACTCTTTCTGAAACACATAATTTGAACCGCATTAGCCCCTCATTACGAAAAGGGCACAAAAAATCCCATGCATCTGCAATATATATAGATGGGGAGAGATCAAAGACCCTTTTTCCAATAAAACAACTGCTTTAGAATTTGTTATCACTGTAAACATCCAATTTGATCCAGGTTCGGATCAATTGGACCTGATTTGGTTCATTTTATTTTTTTTGTATTTTATATTTTATTTTTATTTTATATTATATATATATTTTTAATTTTTTATGTATTTATTATTTACTTATTTATTATTACTATTTATTAATATATATATTTTTCTTTTTCATATCAATTTTTTTCTGTACAAAAGCAATCATTTTTTTTTTTGAAATTTTTTTAATGTTAAACAATCCGACGATGGAAACTCTGCAGGTGAAACAGTAGTTTTCTTGCATACTCTTAAAGTGAGAAAATTTTCTTAATTTTTTGCTAAAAGTATTAAAGTCAATTGAGAATAATTTTCAATAATTAATTACTTGGTAAATTTTTAAAGCTTATTGGATAACACAAAATTAAGCTGATATCATCTTTTGATAGGTGTTGTGAGGGTACTATAATCTTTCTCACACGTAATCGAACTCTCGAAACCTGTTTCGGTTAATAGACCCAAACTTATTCCCTTAAACTCATGTATTTTCTGAAATGATAGATTCTTTAAGTGATTAATCGCACCTAAATAAAAAAGATTAGTGACGACTCTCTTAAAATCAATGTCTAACGATAGATCTTCGGATCTAAACTTTATGATAATTACTCTAACTTTCTTTTTGTTTTTGTACTAGTATTATGCCCAAATTAATCTCCTGCCATGTTTCAAGTCATCGTACTTCAATTATGGTCTCACTGAACTGAGTTTAAAAATAACTACCTCCGAGTTTTTTTTTTTTTTTTTTGCACTTTGAAATTGAACAAAAAATGATAAAAATATTATTCCCATCAGAGCATACTATCATCGATTTTTTAAGAAGAAAAAGACAAAAGATGGAGCTTTAATTTTCTTTTCCTCCAAGTGACGAAGAGGAAAATGATGGAACTATAATTGTTCAAAATGACGTTATAAAGTTACTTGTACAAGTGAAAGAAACTCCTTGAAACGAAGGCTCAATAAAACACGTTTCGTCTCCTTAATGATCAATACCTACTTGAAAAGCATCCATGGGAAATCATGCTGACGGTCATTAGAGAAAAATTGTAGTACAACTTTAGTCTCTAGATTCTAGAAGTCGTTATTTGTTGTGCAGAAGAGAACAATTTCCACCCCACCCCCTGCCTCTTTAACCAAAAACACGTAAACGCATGACAGTTTGGCCGAATGGTCTAAGGTTTGAGATTTAAGTTTTGGTCCGAAAGAGCGTGGGTTCAAATCGTACAGTTGTCATGTTTTGGCTTTGTCTTTTGACTTAATATGGGGCTTAGAATGTATAATATTTGGGCTCCAATTAAACTTCATAATGGGCTTGAAACTTAAGAATCAACCTCATTTAAGCTGGCCATTTTCCTTTTTTTTTTTTGACAATTTTTTCTCACTCGTGGAGAAAAAATGAAAACTTTTTAATCCTTTTTATTAAAAAAAAAAAAGAAAGATAGTACAGTAAAAAAAGATGGTGAAGTTTGTTTGTGAAAAGCTAATGATTAATTAAATTGTTTTTAGTAATATCTTTTATGTGTTTTTATTGAATAAATTAAAATTTAAACAACAAAATTAATATAAATTACTTCTATTTGAAAACCTTTTCATTGAATTCTATTTCTCTAATGAATTTGGTGTCAAAGTTAATGCTACGTTTGAATTAATATTAATAAAAAAAAGAAAGAAAAGAAAATTTTTTTAAAGAAAAAAATATATGTACCCCTTACTTGAATAGTTAAAATTAATTAAAAAAAATTTTAATAACTAATTTTTAGATAAATAGTGAAATGAAAAGAAATAATTCATTATAATTTTTTTTCTAATTATAACTTGTTTTTTTATAAAGTAACATATAATATACAAATATATGTTTATGCTACCTAGTTTTAATAAAAAAATCTTTTTAAACAAAATTGAGTATATTTAATAGGTAAGATGTATTACTAGTTATTAATTTACTCTTAATTTTATATTTAATTCAACCTTTTAATTTGTTCTAACAATAATTTGATTTGTTTTGTTGTTAAGACTTAAAAAATTATAAAATATTTTTAAATTGTGATGTTGTATAAAATACTTATAAAAAAATTATTTTTGTAAAAGATGTCAGTTATATAATCAAATCTAATGTTATAATAAAAATATGAATATAATAGTATTTTCATAAAAATAAATTTTTTTCAAATTTCCTTTTCTTAGTTTTTTTTTTTTTCAAATTGAGGTATTAAAAAAATGAAGATTACAAGAAAAATCAAAAGTTATAAGGTTTTCGCTTATTTCCTTTTTTTTACACTATGTTTGGATAAATATTAATAAAAAAAGAAAAATAAAGAAAAAGAAAATAAAGAAAAAGAAAATAAAGTCGAATTTTTTAAAAGAAAATGATACATGTACCATTTATCTAGATAGTTAAAATTAATAAAGGAAATGAAAAGAAAAGAAAATAATTTTAACAATCATTGTTTTGATAAGTAGTAAAAATGAAAGAAAATAATTCATTATAATATTTTTTTTAATTATAACTTTTTTTTAATAAAGTAACATATAATAAATAAATATATCTTTATATTATCTAATTTGTATAAACAAATCTTTTTGAATAAAATTGAGTATGTTTAATATAATTAGATATACTAACTAGTTATTAATTTACTCTTAATTTTATGTTTAATTTAATCTTTTAATTTATTTTGACAATAATTTGATTTTTTGTTATTAAGATTTAGAAAAATATAAAATATTTATAAATTGTGATATTATATTAAATATTCATAAAAAAATTATCTTTATAGAAGATATTAATTATATAATCAAATACAATGTCATAATAAAAATTATGAATATAATATTTTCGTAAAAACAAAATTTTTTTAACTTTCCTTTCTTTGATTTTTCTTTTAAATTAAGATATTAAAAAAATAAAAATTAAAAAAAAAAGTTATTAGATTTCTATGTATTTCTTTTCTTTTAAATTAAAATTTTATTCAAACAAACAAACAAATGTTTTTCTATTTTCATTTTTTTTTCCTTCTCCCCCGCTCAATCTAAACATAATATTAAATTAAAATTTTATTCAAATAAAATTTTTTTTCTGCTTTTATTACTTTCCCTTCCTTCGATCCAGGTAAGTGACACTGATTCGATCGAAAAGTACAAAGTCCTGAATTAGACTTTTTCTGGGACAATGAGTTTCAATTTCAATCACATATCTAATTAAAAAACCTCCATTTTCTCAACTGCCGGAGTGTGTGAGAACATGGCGATACCTTTCTCAAACTCAACTCGAGCAGCTTGCATCACTTGTCTCAGTGCTTCCAATCAATTCTTTCTCCCATCTTCACCTCTCAAATTCCTTCTCTTCTGGCCCTGGTAAAAGATAAATATTTCTCTTAACATGCATGTTATATTCTCTAGATATGTTTTCAGTGATTGGTTTTACTGGCCAGGTGAAATGGGTCCTTTGACTGTGTCTCCAATGGGGTTTAGGACGTGGGCTTGGGGCAACCATTTTATCTGGGGTTACCAGCAATCAATGGATTCTGAGCTTCAACAAGTTTTTAATCTTTTCGTCGACAATGGTATCAATCTATTCGATACCGCGGATTCTTATGGTACTGGAAGACTCAACGGACAGAGTGAAAAGCTTCTAGGAAAGTTCATTAGAGAATTTCCAGGTTGGTTAATTTCTCAATCTAAATTTAACCTGCCTCACTGAGGAATGAACATTGAATTTGCCTTCTCTTGAGAACTCTTTAAGTTGTTTTCAATTGTCAATTCACTAGAATGCTTTCTCTGTATGGCTTAATGTTGATGCTTCATATAATAAGTTGAGGAAATTAAGACTAAGGTACCATGCAAGTTCTGACACAATTGACCTTTATATGTTGGTGTTACAAATTACAATAGCTGATATAACCATGACTCTTCTTTCATTATCCCAATGTTACAATAGAGTTTGTTGATCTTACCATTCTGGTATTTGTGTTTGTATATCGCTATAATGTTAGGGGAGTAGATAAAAGATGAGATTGTGATTGCCACAAAGTTTGCGGCATATGCTTGGCGTCTAACACGAGGGCAATTTGTTCAAGCTTGCAGGTTTGATATTCTTTTGCTTCTATGTAAGTGTTCCTTAGATCTCACATTGACTGAAATGTCGGAATGATGATTAAATTTTATGAAGAACTGATTTCCAGGGCCTCTCGGGATAGAATGCAAATTGAGCGAATTGGAATAGGACAGTTACATTGGTCCACTGCAAACTATGCTCCACCACAAGAGTTAGCTCTTTGGGGTGGTTTAGTGGCAATGTATGAGAAGGTTACCATGAATTACTTTTAAATAGTTATTATGTTTCAGTTACTAGAAAATGAGATTAATCATTTTCCACTGTCATATGTGAAAGTTTTTTCCTAGATTTAACTTGCATTTCAAAATGTTGAGATATCTCTATTCTACATAACAAATATTTAAGAAGATATCTTTTTTTGCATCATAGCAACTTTGTTTCTATAGTTTAGATGATATATATTTTTACCTGCCAAAATCTACTTGATATATATTTGCGGGGCTTAGTTAAAGCTGTAGGAGTTAGAAATTATAGACCCAAACAGCCTGTAAGGATTTATGATTACCTTAAAGCTAGAGGAGTCCCACTATGTTCGGCTCAGGTATAGATAATTCAGACCTTTTTCTCCTTTTCATGTTAGGAAGACTTTTAGTTTGTTCGTAATTGCTTGTGTTTCAAGTAGTGAAACCAAGAATCGCTGCATGAATTATTGCTAATACCCCTTATACCTGTTTGTCTTTCATGTTTAGTTACCTTGAAATGTTTAACCAAGCTCCCCTCCCCCCCCCCCCCATGTTATACTTGCTTTAGTTTTTGTGCTTGTGTTTCCTGTGTTTCATCAAATTCATACCACTAGACCATTTTGGCCCAACCATACGGCCATTATCTCTGGTTTCATGACTTTTCTTTTCCTTCCACTCCAACCCTATCTTTTGTAGTTCTTAATCTTCCCTGATGGCCACAGCTTCTAAAATTTGCATATGCTCAACTACCTAAGTCTCCTGTTTAAGAATAGTTCTATTTTGAAGATAGCCACTTTCAAACACGTGCATACAGAGTGTATGGACTGGCTCTTCCTCCTTTTACCCAAATCCCAACTCCAAGGAAATGAAATGACAGAGAAAAATGTCATAGGGGGTTTTAGTGTATGGGTGAAAAACATGATTCAAGCTCGTGGTCTTATTCGTTCTTTTTTGTTCAATTAAAAATAATTAGAAAAAGTTAATTAATTAGTATAAATGTGGGTAACTATTTGCTAATAGCATTTTCCTGCTTAATAGAGGACATGATCTTTATGGATAGCTGAGTTTATCATGAGTGTCAACTAGTTTACTGCATGGATCATATCTAGGCACATTTTTGGGGTTTGTGTACAAGAGAGCACTAATGCTCAGTCTCTAACTTTGATTTTGGACTCAAAACCTCACACAATCCAATCTCTTGAGCTAAGCCTCAATGGCAGACTATCTAACTAAAATACAATACTTGAATGTATCCCATGCCGGACCATGTAGCTACTAAGGCTTTAACAATACTTTAAGACTTCCTTTTTGTCGTTGGTGTGATTCAAGGCTAACATCTAGAATGACCCCAATTTCAGATACAATTTTCTCTGCTAAGCATGGGAGAAGATCAGATGGATGTTAAGAACATTTGTGATTCTCTTGGTATCCGCTTGATTTCTTATCATCCTCTAGGACTTGGAATGCTTGGTGGGAAATATACACATTCCAGACTTCCAAGTGGGCCTAGGTAATGGAAATGCAACTGTTTATTACTATCACGGGTATGGTAAAGAGATTTAATCCTCTCAGTGCATAGGTGAGTGCTTATTTCATGATAAGCTTTATTGTCTCCTAGCAGGGGCCTTCTATTTAAGCAAATTCTTCCAGGACTGGAGCCCTTGCTGGTTTCCTTAAGAGAAATCGCAGGAAAACGGGGCAAAACCATACTTCAGATACTTTTAATGGTAACTTTGCTTGGCAACTGTTTCACTTGTATGCTTAGCTCCATTTTCGAAAATTAAGCTTAGATCTTGGCTAAAATAACAATAAAGCCCCTGAACTTTATTATTTTATTTAGATAAATCCTTATACTTTTATTATATCCAAATAAGCTTTGAACTTTAATTTGCATCTAAATAAACTTTTTAACAATTAATTTATATTCAAATAAGCTTTTAACATTTAATTTATACCTAAATAAATCTTTAATATAAATTAATATTTTGTTTAAAATAAAAGCTTATTTGGATACAAAATCAAAGAATAAAGGTTTATTTGGATACAATAAAAGTATAGAGCTTATTTAAAAAAAAATGAAATAGTTTAGGGGTTTTTTAATATTTTAGTGTTAGACCTTTTAAGTCCTTATTAACATTAACTAGAGTGTGTAATTAGATATTTGGCCTTATATTTTTGTGTATACTCTTCTAGAGCATCAAACTTTCTACAACCTTGCCTCACTCTTGACCAAAAAAAAAAAGGGCATTGAGTTTGTGGGAACATGCATTCTACCTACTTGGAAGGCCTACTGTTGCGTCTGTGTTTAGGGACCTTTACCAATTAGTGCTGTTTTCTTTAGCTTTGCCCTGACAAGAATGACATGTTCAAACTTCATTGGCCAAGATTTCAATGATAAAATAGATCAGCATATTTACTAGTGGATCAAACGATTGTAACGTATTAAGTGATGTTATTTGAGGGAGATCAGATTCTCTTACTATCATAAAGCAAGAGAAATAAGGAAATCTTCCCTCGATTTGACGTTAAGCATTTGTTTACCAAATGCATTAGTAACTGAAATCTATGCCAGGATATGCATGGAATATATTGCCTTTTATCAGTTGTAGACCTAAATAAAATGCCATTTGCATGTCGCAATAAACTGGTGCATCTGTAAAGGTACCATTCCAATACCTGGAGTTAAAACAGTTAGACAAGCAGAGGGAAATTTGGGTGCTCTCAGTTGGCGCCTAAGTTCAAATGAGTTGGCTTCAGTTAGATTATGCAGATCAGAAGTCTCCACAGAGGATGATCCAAAACATTTTCCAGACAAGGTAAACAGTTATAGAACTACAGCAGCCAAAGGAATACCATGGAGTAATATGATACTTTTACTCGAGTGTCTGCATTCTCATCCAATAACAGATTGAAATTTTGACAACACTTGAGTAAACAGAACAATTACGGGGCACAAGCCAAAAAATTGGAGATTTTCGGGAATGAATTCCATCAACTCAATGAGCTGGAATAGCATTTATATCCTACATCTGCTAACAGATAGAAAAGATGATTGAAGGAGCAATATCTCGCCAATTTTGAAGCTAACATGTATGAAATGCATCTATCGTGAGTAAGAATCATTGTAAATGAAGAACAGCCTTTCATGTACCATAATTAGCATTGTTCTTACGCAAAATTTTCTGAAGTGGAGAAGAATAGAGAATTTTCTTTTCAATTTTTCAGCTTTTGCTAATATTTAATTCTCCAAAAAACAAAATTCTAGCCAGAATGCTATCAAGTGGAACGCAGTCATTAAACATAGAGAAAATACACCATCATCTTATCAAAAATGACAAATCCAAACAGAATCACAAACACCACAAGAGTTTCATGCTGAATGAAATTAAAGCTAATTTTAAGATAGTTAAGATGTCTGCTATTAGAACTATACTGTCCAAACAAAACATCAAGAAGCCTAATAATAAAAGCAGAATTCCTCCCTCACGATATGCAATCTACTTGATCTTCTTCTTTGGCCTCAACTGTCAACACAAAGAAATAACAAGTGTCAATTATGTGCAATGAAAAAGCACAGAAAAGGATGAGGTTTACAGGATAAAAAGAGCAGTGGATCACACGTATTTAACAAAATAGGATCAGCATAGATGGTTACCTGATTGCTGTGTCCACACTTCTTTTTCCTGCAGTTCACAGCACGGGGGTGCAGTCGAGCATAACACCTACAGCAAAGACATCAATGGAAATAGAGAACAGAAAAGATTTCAATAATAAATGCAAGTCATTTATAAAGGAAAACAAAAAGAATGCAATTTGATATACAACAATATGACATGCATCGGGGCTCATAGAGTAAGAAGGGGAATATAATGCTTATTTCAAGAATCAGCAGGATGCAGGTAACCATATAGACAAAGGGAGGATCTAACTAGAAGCATATACAAGATAAATAATAGGGCAACGATGAAAAATTCATTTCAAATTAACTTTGTAAACTAAAATTATTAAACAAGTAATTATAGGCAATAAATGCAGACATACTTGCGACAGATCATCTTGTCCTGATTGTATTTCCTAGCCAATGCCATCAAAGAAGGCTCAATAATGCCACCACGAAGCCTCAGAACCAGATGCAAGGTTGATTCTGCACAATTCCACACAATCATTCACATCAAGCTAAAATAAACATCACGTAAAAAAAGAGAATGGTTCATGTTTTCAATTCAACATCCCAGGCCTTTCCCTAATTTCAGTACTTTAAAGAAAAAATGGGGATAACATAAACACCGTTTTCTTCTCATTATAGAGATCCTATAAGATTATCTGAGTCTTGTTCAATAAGGTTGATGAAGCTATGCAAGAGTTAACAGAATAAGTTCTAAACACTCGTACAAATTCCTATTCAGCTATTTCTACCATTTTCCCAACAAGCAAACATTACTTAAACATGCCCATGGCTTTGATTTACAGTTAAATAAGGAACAACATAAATTAAAATACTTTTAATATCTTCTGTCTAAAAATGTGGCAAATTTTATCAGCAATCAAACAGGGCCTACAATGACCAATATTTACCTTTCTGAATATTGTAGTCAGCAAGAGTACGGCCATCCTCAAGCTGCTTTCCGGCGAAGATCAATCTCTGCTGGTCCGGTGGGATACCTGACAATATTTACACTGGAAATTCTAAGCCGTCAAATCCTGACGATCAACAAATATAATGAATGACCTATTAATTTGATTCCTAAAACATATAGGGGGAAAAGAGGCGGGGAAAGAAAAGGAAAAAAAAAAAAAAAGAGAAGCGTATACCTTCCTTGTCCTGGATCTTAGCCTTAACGTTGTCGATAGTGTCGCTGGATTCAACCTCTAGAGTTATGGTCTTCCCTGTTAGGGTTTTCACGAAGATCTGCATTTTCCCAAAACTCTGCTCTGTTTCGGTCAAGCCCTTTCGTTTATCAGAGTCATTATATAAGTGGGTTTATTAGGGTTTTGGAGCGTTGTTTTATTTGGGTCCTTTTTTGTTTGGGGGTGACAAATGTTTTATCCGGGGCTTTGTTTTTAATTTTCATCTCCTAAATCCACCGACTTTGCCTTTAATACGTTAGCACCGTTGGCAGGTAGAGACCAATTTATTTTATTACAATGGAAAATTTTTTCCAACTGAAACAGAATAAATCCATACATTTCAATATTTATCAAATAAGAAGAATCCAATCTCATCAAATATTTATGGAAGGTAGCTAATAGAGATCATACAAATGGTTAAAGTTTTAAATTTGAATATAAATCATTTAAATTCGAATTTTATAATCTTTTGTTAATAAATCATTTGTAAATTTAAAAAAATTTAAAAGATCTATAAATTTCACTTGCAGATAACAATTTAATCTTACTTTATTTCTAAACTTTTTTTAGTAAAAATATTATTTCTAGGAAGGTAATTAGAGAAGCTATAAAACAAATTGACCATGTTGTAATCATAAAAAGATGTGAAGAGGCCACCCGACACTTATTCCTTCAAGGAGGGTCAACAACAGAAAAAAGAGAACAAGTATGTAGGTCGCACCGGACTAGAGCCATTTTTCTTCATGCTCCCAGAGAAATTGGAATCTGAGCTTACCACTGAACAAATACAAGTTTTGTGGAACAGCAAGTAGAAGTATCAAATCTGGAAACAATTAGATCATACAAGAACATGAGTTGATTAGAAACCGGAAATGAAAAATGTGCCGTAAGTTGATAAGCATTAGAATTATTGATAGAATATGGAGTATTAGAACTAGAAAAGTTTTCAAACGGAATTTTCAAACCTAAGCAATTGTAAATTCCTCTAAACGTGTTTTTGGTTGTCACTTGCTTTTAACTAACGACAGCACATTGTATATTGAAGCTTATGATATAGAGTAACGAGAAAACCTATGGCGAAAGAAAGAGTTGCTATAGCTCGAAAGGTTACAGTTTTTCTTGAATGTGAATTCAGTTTGTTGCTAGAATCTCTTTATAGAAATCTGTGAAATAGCAAAAGTTTAACTAATTGTCTAAAAATGTGATCTAATGGCACCAAAAGGATAAAAACTCGTTTTAAAGAATTGTTTTGCTTCTAAAAGGATCTTCAAATCATTCACTCAGCTCTATAAAGGGGATGCATTCAAATTTTGGCCACATATCCCCTTTTTCTTGTTCATACCTTGGTTTTGGAACAGGACACTGCCTAATTGCTAGACTTGCAAGGGTAGATGGTATCCCTTCTCTGCCAGCGAGTAGAGCTTTTTTCAACCCCGCGAGTTGAGATTCTGTAACCCTTCAAACAGATTTAAGATCTGGCATGTTTGTAATGTGAAAATTTGTTATAGAGTAAGGCAGGGGATACTCATTTGGAAAGGAAACCAGACCGGGAACTCCACCAATACTAAAAGTCTCAAGAGATTTGAGCTTATACAACTTCCACTCCTGTACAGGATTAAGGTTCTCACAATTAGTAATCGTTAGAGAGAGTAGGTTTTGGGGCTATCCCTGCCTTGGTAAAAACTTGAGACTTGATGATTGCTACTTTTTGTATAATCTGCAAGTGGATAAATCAAGTATTAAAATGAAACTATTCCAATATCGTATCTTAAGGGATTATAGATTGTAATTGTTGGATAGCTTTCAAGTATCAAAGTTGAAGTCTTAAACTCTTATATCTAAACAAATGAAAATTATAAGTTGATTGCAAAAGAAAGAAAGAAAGATTAACAAGCAATGTAGGCTTAGATCTTAGCTTTACCAACTGTTACTTGAAAGTAAACGAGCATAGCCACACTAGATCTAAAGACTTGAAAATAAAGAAATCTTGTGATTGTAGAATGCTTGTAGTAAAATAGAATTGAAATTATGATTGTATAAAACTAAACTTGTAGAGCATCAAAGAAATTATAGCCGAATCTAGCATTGCATAAAAGAAAATTTAGAAAGCAATAGATTGGAAGAAAAGATTATGAATGTCAAAAACTTGGAAGTGGAAAATAAAACTTGAAACCGAAAGTAATAAAGAAAAAGATATCTTGAAAAATAAATATTTCTTGAATTAGAGAAAGACTTTAAAGGAGCACTCTTTTGTTATTGTCAAATTTGTCACCTAAGCCAATAACTAAAACTAAATAAAAACTAAAGAGAAAAGAGGAGAAGAATGGGATGAGATGGATGATGAAACAAATGAATGGCCTTGCCTATTTATAGGCATAGGTTTGGCCATAAAGAGTAGAGATTACAAAAGTTTAATTTTTATTCAAATGTTAAGAGATAGGGTTGATTTTCATCTTCAAAGTGCTTTGACAGAATGAGACTCTTATTTCTTGAAAAGTCATAGCCGAATGGGTATCTTGGGAAGCAATCTTGGCCATGTGATCTTGCTTGATGCAATCTTGATTCATGGTTTGGCTAGAAAAGATTTTCAAAGTAATGTAGTTGATTCTTATCCAAAACTCTTATGATGGAACTTGTAAATCTTCAAAAAGATAAGCAAAAGAATCTTTCTCCAATACAAACACTCTTGGTTGAATAGGGTAGAATCCATGTGAGCTTGAAATTGCTTGAAGTCTTCTCAGAAGTTGACTTAGCTAAATGGATATGAGAGATGAAAGTCCTTGTGCTTGCTAAATTATCTAAATGAGCTTTATCTTCTCTTGTATTTGAATTGACTAAATAGTGTAGAAGTCCTTCATGAATGCAAATTCCTCTTTTAGCTGCATGAACAAGTCATAATACAAAGTGGAATTCTTCAAATGATCAAGCAATCATCTTAGATCTTACTTTGGCTGAATACACGTGAGTGTTTTTGGACCGATAGGATTCAGCTATTCCTTAGTCAAGCATGGTCGAACGCTCCCTTGCATGTACGGATTGCATGTTTTCCTCATCCATAAGCTTTAAACCTTAAAACGCAAGAAATTAGCATTAAAGCACCACAACTTGAACAAAATTTAAAATTTTGCACCAATGTAGACTAGTAAAATTATTATATTTTTAGGTGCTATCACTTGAACAGTAAGATATCACCAACTTTCAAAGAAATTGAAGACTGTGAATTCATTCAAGCAGGGACTTAAGCTTCTCACATCTAAAAATCATGATTGATCTCAAGTTAATGGGCTACTTTTTGAAAAATATTCAAGTGTGATATATCCAAATATTCTAAGTAGTCAAGATTTACAAGGTTGAGAAGGCTTGCTGGTAAAGACTCCAGCTTGGGACATTCACTTATCTTAAAATGCTTTAGTGTTGTGGTTAACTCACCAATGGGAAATGATTTCAAAGAGAATCAGTTATCAATCTCTAGCTATTCATGAGTCAATTTGTCTTTACACATTATTCCATCAGGCAGGGATGCTAGATTTTTGTAATGGTAAGTTTTGAATGGTTGAATGTGGAAGGCCTTGTTCAAGAAGTGATGTGAGAGAAAAGCACTTGTGAATCTTCAAGTACTTAAAGACTTCATTGTTTTATGACAGCATGTTAGGATGTCTTTAAAGCTCTATAATCTCAAATGACAAGTTGTTGAAGCATGTCTGGCAACCCTTATTCTGGGAACGACTCAAACAGTGCATAGTGGACACTTATCCATTCTCAACTCCTGAGGAGACATAACATTTTGAAGTTCACATGGTAGTTTTATCAAGTTATGGTAGCAACTTAAATCTAAAAGTTTTAGTTTAGACTTCAGACAATAACTTTATTTCTTTATCCAGTAAAGCAACAAGTTTAAGGTAGTGAGAGATTGTCAAATATTGAAATGACATAAGGTGTTTTAATCCCTTTTGCTCATTTGATAGACTTTCAAGATCATTGCACCCAATAATCTTCAAATCTTCAAGTTTTCCAAGTTGTTTGATTATACATTCAGTAGGCATTTGACTAATGAAATTTGTCTTATATAAAGAGAGTTTAGTGAACAAAAGTCAACCATACTCCTAAGAAGTTTTGCATTTGAATCCAACAATTCTAATTTTTGAAGGTTGACAAGCTTTAGAAATGTGATTGATTCCAAACAATCATCTATCTCTAACGTTTTCAAGGAAATGAGAGAATTGCATAGCTTAATTAGCTTAGTACAACCTATAAGAATAAACCACATAAGGTAAGGGAATTCTTCAGATACCAAATCTTCATTTTAGGGAAAGGCTTGTAAAATATTCTAGAGCCATACATTTATGAACTTTCAGTTTTCCAATGAAGGAAATCTGTGTGAGAATTTCTTCAACTTTGAACACTCAAGAATAAATAGTTTGCGAAGGCAAGGAATCCTTCAACTTCATCCCCAAAAGACCTTGAACTTCAAAACCTCAAATAATGGAAATGACTTGATTAAAATATTAGTTTCCCTTAAAAACTAAGCCCCTACATGCTTTATACCATCCATTATTTCAATGCTGAGATTTTTGAGAGAAACTAATAGGCCAAACGATGGTAACAAAGTGCACTTTTTACAACTATAAAGGTGTAAGTAGACCATGTTTGTGAACACAATATGCCCTATCCAACTTGGAAATTCTATACCACCATAGTATTTAATTGTAAGCTTTTTCAAGCTTTCATGAGGTTGTAAAACATCAAGTACATTTCTTTCAACTATTTCATTTCATGAGCTGTTAACGTTGTTGCTCCATTCTAAAACTAATTCCTCAAGGTTTTTCTTACTATTCAACTTTGCTTGAATTGCATCATTAATGTTAGTCACATTGTGCAACCTTGAAATGGTAAATGATCCATGGTGATTAGACAAGTCTTTAAACTCTTTTAGCCCTAAATTGTTACCTGCCCCTATAATAAAATTAGATAAACATTGAAGGTTTAACAACCTTCCTATTTGCAATGGCATCTTTTCAAGACTAGTTCCATAAATGTCAAGATGTCTTAAGTTAGGCTTTTGATGGTCAACTGTCAGGGTCTTAAGGGAATGAAAATTCACTAACAGTAATGTCTACAAATTGTAAAGATTGTTTGTGGACTTAGTTAATTGTTTGATTTGGCTATAAAAGAGATCAAGGAAACTGTTGGTATTACGCTCTAAGTTGAAGGGTAAAACATTGAAAACATACAATAGAGAAATAAAACGATTAAAAGGAAAAGGCTAAAAGGTTTTTTAGCATTTGTGCTTTGACGCTCAAGTTAGAAGTCAATCTAAGGAAAAATAAGAAAGAGAAAATATGAATGTAAAAGAATACGAGATGTTTAGATAATACCTATATAGCCCTATTTATAGTTGAAAGTGGAGGGTTTTAGGGTGACTTAGACTGCTTATGGTCAGTCATTGGGTTAGGATGACCTGACAGGCAAAGTTGACCTAGA